GGGTACTTTAACCAAATTATTATTAACCCAAATTTGTTGATTTATATACCACATGAGACACAAATTTTACTGAACGACTATTAATCTTTTGATATTTTACAGCATAATATATTGATATAAAATTTATTTCTGCTTCAGTATTCAGATTTACTGAAATAATTTAATTTATCTTTTAAGGAATTTTAAAACTGGAACCACTGGAAATGGCTCCTTTGTGTTTTCTTTTGGTGCCATTAAATCCAGATTTCAATGCAATTATCACTTCAAATTTATTAACATGATCATAAACTAAATTAAATGTAAAATCACCGTTGAATGTTTCGTGCACAAACCTAGGTGATGTATAACTAACTTGGTAAGTTTTAGTTCCTCTAACCATTACACCTAAATAAAAATTTCTAAATTTCCAACAACTCTTTGTTTCTTTTATCAAATATTTCCTTTATCGGATATCTCATAAGACAAATATTAGATACTCCTGAAACTCATTTTGTAATGCTAAAATTTAAATATTATCATCCATTGCGCCATTTAATCGATAGACTCTTTGTTCAGCTGGAACGTCCTCGCAAAATAAGGTATATATAAAATCTTTTCTGAACATTTCAGTCATATCTGTATCATCATCTTTTACTGAAATTATCATTTCAGCTGACGTTGGTTTTCCTAAGACTTGTTTAGATTTATACATATAACCGATCCAAATGCATTTGCAGCATAGAAGTTTATTTTGGATGTACGTAATACGTTATTTGCTATTCTGCTGGCATTGAACTATATATCAAACTTTCTGTCGTTATACTATAGGGCTTTTATATTTCTAATTGACTTTTACGTAAATTTTAATTAAATATAAAATTGCTATTAGATAAAGCTATTATTGCTGAACAGGGCACTATGAAAGCAGGAAAAATATTTCTAGTGCATTTTCAAGATACGAAAACATTTACAAATTTGATGATCAGATGTTTGAGCAAATTTTAACCCTATTCATTTATTTCATCTTTTACAAATTGTTGTATATAAAGAACCTATATCTCACAAATGTCTTGAATTAATAGTTCAGTATCATATGATTTTATTTTATCAAAATAACACGCAATCAAAAAAGATTTATTTGATATAATCTTTGAAGATACAAGTTTCGATACAGAAATTTCAGAACCATATCTTACATCTTAGTCACGAAATAAATTAACTGGAACAAATAATTCCTATATAGCCGATAAAATACACCAATAAATAAATAAAATATTGGAAGAATTTACTTCATATGGGTCAGAATAGAAATTTGAAATGATAAAAGATATTTTGATTTATACAGCAAAATGTAAAGTTCTGCAGGGTAGTTCTTACGTTGATCTTCAACACAAATTAAAAAGAATAAATGTTATCTAAATGTAAAAACCAACGACAATCAATGTTTCGTTGCTCAGTTCTGTCGGAGAGACGTCACAGAGTGACCACAGTGACCGAATCAAAAATTATTTGCCATACACAGACGATCTAGATTTTATCGGAATAACATTTCCAGTAGCCGAAAATCAGATACCAAAATTTGTAAACAAAACCATTTTTCAGTAGATGGTTTTGGACTAGATAAGCGAGAAAATGTTTGTCCAAGATATATTTCAGAGACTGTTACTCAAAGGACAATACATTTTTTATTTTATAACGAACATTACGTTTGGATAATAAAAGACAATATTTTAATGGCTTAGTTGACGGACAGCATAATACAAATAAGAGAAGAAATATATGTTACAGATGTTTGCAGGGTTTTTTTTCTAAGAAAGAGAAACAGAAACATCTTAAATAATGTGTCAAGGTTCCAAAAGTAATTATTCCAAGCAAACAAGAATGTCTTAAAGTTTAAAATTCTAACCATAAGCTAAATGTATCATTAGTTAGTTATGCCGATTTGATTGCCTACAGGTTCCATTGGCTAGCACTGAAAATAATAATGATAAATCAAGCATAAGAAAATACAGATAATGAGTCTGAAAGTTCGGCTGTATGGTTATAAAAACTCTAATAGATGATGCTAACAAAATTTCTAAGAAATCATTTAATACAGTTCTAATTAAAAAAGTTTAAATTAAAACGTGAATTTGATTAATTGGTTAATTGTCATATTTGCGAGACGTTATTGGTAGGCTCTGACAATGTTCGTGATCATTGTCATCTGACCGGTTAATATCATGTAGCAGCTCATAATAATTGTAATTTAAAATTTCATGCACCAAAGTTTATACTTATCTTTTTACTTTATTTTTGCAGCTATGATAGTCATATTTGCTAAATAAAGGAAATTACTTGATACATTAAAAAATTATACAAGCAGTGAGCTGGACTAGTTCTGATAAAAGTCTTTCGCTTACTAGAGTTTAACCAGTCGAGATGGATGGCGGATTATATTAGCTTAAATACGAAATGTCGTACTGTAGCCAGGACTGAATTTGAGAAACATTTTAAGTTGATGAATAACTCAGTTTTTGGAAAGACAATGGAGAAAATTATAAATATAGTTCCGATTAAAATTGTAAATAACATAAATCGCAAAAGCAAATTAGTTAACGATAATGGTTTTGTCAAAATGAAAAGATATTTAATGAAATAATGCAGTAGTACAACGACGAAAGACAAACTTAAAGTTAAATAAACCAATTTATGTTGGTGGAGCTATACGCTATACTTGATATATCAAAGTGGTTTATGTACAACTTTCACTATAATTTTACCAAAAAGCAGTGGCAAGATTCGGAGTTGCTGTTCACTGATACAGACTCGATAGATTCTAATATGAAATGTGATGATGGTTTACAAGACTATTACAGGCCCCTTGATTTATTTGATTTATCAGATAATCCAGCGAGTAGTGGATTTCATGATGATGTAAATAACAATTGTATTGGTAAATTTAATGTTGAATTTATCGTTGTGCCAATGAAATGATTTGTTCAATTAAGGAGTACGATGTGATATTAGTTGATAATAAATTGACAACAAAACGCAAAAGGTATTTATCGTAGGTAAGTGAAAAAGTGTATAAAAATTGATGATTCAAAGCAGAATTAAATAATGTCAGTTTTGTCAAAACAAATGTTATCAGAACAAATCGTTACAAACGGATGCGATTTCAAAATGTAGACTTTCAATGTTTATATCTTCCTGGATCTATTATATAATTTTCTGAATATATCCTTTATCAAAACCAAATATTCTATAACTGTTTAAAGGAAACTACCAAATAATATTTGTAATTTCTTTTCTCTGTCTCATAGTTTATATTAGATTTTATTTATTGAATTAATGATCGACAATATATAATTAGCTGACGAAACTATAACCGTGTTCCTTCGAAATGAGATAATACCGTCTTAGATTGCTTAAAACTCGTGAATCAAGCATAGATTGGTACAAATGAACAGGATAAGACCGTATTATTTTCAGACCGCCTGTAAGAAAGTGCTGCTGTCGAATATGTTAAGTGATTTCCAGCCACAGTAAGTTTCTTTTGTCTGCGATGTGATTTCCGGGAATATTAGTCTGTCTGTCAGTATGTTTCATTGAAAGAATCTAAAACTGTACTAAATGGTTACATTATGCATATAGGGTATCACACCTATTGATTTTTCAGACAACACAATCTTTTGCCTATAATTTACACAGCCGCTGCATTAAAGCTTTCATTTTTCTGTATAAATAAACAGCAGTTTTTCAGTACAAATAGACAGTATTATATTTTAGATTCATTTTATAACGGTGTTTTTGAAAATCAGAAAAATTATATGCTATTCAGAATTAGGTATCTGGAAAGTATATAGTAATTTCTCAAACACACACACACACACACACACACTATATATATATATATATATATATATATATATATATATATATATATATATATATATATATATATATATATATATATATATATATATATATATATATATATATATATATATATATATATATATATATAATCGGATTTCATAGCTCAGAGCAGGAATGTTGGATTGCTCTTACTGAAGGTCTGTGGTTCTATTCCCATAATAGGCATATGTCGGTAGGTATGGTTATGGATTACCAAAATAATTTTTTAATTGGGAGAACGAACCCCAACAGAAAAAATACACTCTCTCACCATGCTGTGGGTGTGCTTTTGCACTCAGCTTTGGGATATCATGGGAGCGTGTATAAAAATCCGTTTGACGTAGGTAAATCCCCCGTTTATATCTGTGCCGTCTCTTAAGGTAATTTCATGTTGTGTCACTCCTTAGGATACGTTTACATGTTGTGTTGTCCCCTAGGATAAGTTTATGTAATGTGCAGTCCCTTTTAAATACGTTTATGTGTTTGTATCGTCTAACATTAGACAGCATGATGAGGTGAGTGCGCGACCTTGTGACCTCACAAGGGCATTCAGAAAGAATGCCGCCGGACAAAAATGTCTTTTAAAGTGCCTGTGGACGATACGATAGGTCTTTACACTGAAATAACCAGCCCTCTGAGTTTCTAAAGTTTCGGTTCCGGATATTTAGAATATCGCCTGGTGATATGTCTTTTGAAATAGTATTGCTCTGAGTTTCTAAAGTTTCGGTTTCGGATATTTCGAAATTCGGCAGTGGATGTGTCTATGAAAATGACTCTTAGACGATTATGAGCTTTACCGGCAGAATGGACCCCGAGGAATGGTAGACCGATTGTTTATTGTTTTGTTTTTTTAATTTAGAAATATCATTATCAAATACAAGTGTGTGTGATTTAGATTTTTATCGTAGCATTAAAAATGTTTAAGTCATATCGCTTTGTTGTATGAAGTTTGACAATTTATAGTGCTGTCTAGCACTGGGGCAACATGCCGTAGACATATGGCATGATGTTCCAGCCAGTCTCACTATCCTGACACCAGGCCGACAAGCCATAACACTAACATCCTAAAGCTGATTGCCAAGCGAGGCAGCTGTTAGTGCAATTTATAAAGTCTTTTCTATTATTCGGCCGAGATTTGAACCAACGACCTTCTGCATCTGAGGCGGATGATTTAACCACTAGGCCACCGGAGTAGCCTCTCAAATAAAATCTCAACTATATTATCAATACATGTCATCAAATCATCTGATCAATCTCGTATGCATTCATTTTCATTTGCGAATAACCATACTGACCCAGAGTTTGATGATATATGGTAACCAACTTTTTAATACAGTCGCTCATTATTTAAGGTTTTATACTAGTAGAACTCAGCCTTATTTTACTGAATCAAATTTCTTAAAAAACTATTTTTATGTCAAATCCAACATGTTTAATTGATGATGGATTATAACCCATATTATATATTATTTAATTGTTCAATATGAAATTTCTTGTAAACATGGTTTATTGTTTATACGACTAATCCTCAGGGTGAGAGTTTCTGGTCCAGAATCGGCATTTATTTAAGGATCCGCGTCCTATCTTATTACTGAATCCCTCTTTCGTGCAGACATTATTAGGTCCGTATTTAGCTGTATTAAATTACCAATCAACCTAACTGGATATACTTTGTAGAACGAATAGTTTGCCTGCAATAATGTCAAGCAATTTATCTAATAATCACTTATTACCCCTTTCTGTTTGTAAACATAGTGGACAGTTATTTCAACGAAGACGCGGCTGTGTGTTATCGCTGTCCGAGTTACTCTGTTTGAATGCACCCTTTACATCAATTGTCAATTATACACAGCTCTCACTATCATAATTTAGATATTGTTCAAAATGCAGACTCATTTATTAGTCTAGATAAACTGAAATATTGACAGCCATGACGTGCAAACTGTGGGAAAATATGGATTCATCAGGAAAAGTAGACAAATGATTTCAGAGAACCATTTTTTCTCTAGTAGGAAATGCTCACAGAGATGTACCCTCGACTTGAGACATATTTGCAATAAAATGCTAATTTATATCTCTGTCTGTCAGAACTTCAAAGTGATTATTTCATGATTCATTATGCAGAACATCTTACCTAGTCTGGGACATGGCGAATAAGGTTAGACAAAGAAGATAGTGCTATATCCCATCATGTAATGAAAGAGGGATGAAAACTATATGCAAACCTATCACAATTCTTTCAAACAACCTTAACAGTAGTGCAATAAATACGTGCCGCTTATGTAGTTTATTAAACACTATTGTCCATTTAAGGGCAAAAAGTGACCAGTTCAAAACGGTCTGTAATAACAACTCATTGGAGAGAATATTTGAAATGCAGATAATAAAACTTATGTGCACAAACGATATGAGAAACCTTGTATTCCCACTACGTTGGTGTGCAAACATAAATGCTCCCTCTAAAGCATAAAATGTTTAATATTGCATGTATTATGCATAATAATAGAAATGATGATAGATGACGTAAATAAAACACAATTTTAGTTTCATTCTACGAACGCAAATAATTTAAGGTCATCATGTACAATCTCAAGACGACACAAATCAAGAAAAAATGAATTTGCGAGCAAGGCTACATTAGAGGAAAAAGTATCAGAAGTTGCAAACGTGCATACAAACGTGAAAACTGTGATCACGAATCTTTAATCAGCAATGTAACTAAAAAAAACAAATTCACGCAATACAAGTTTTTCGGTAAAACCAATATGACTATAACATCCGCTGTACGCCAAATACTAATTGACATCCAAGAGTGTGAAGACCACGTTTTAGAGATCTATTACAAACTGAACAGGTCAGCATCATACGACACCTCTCTCACTCACAGACATATACACACAAGAGGAAAATGTATGATACAAAAGTACCGACGTTGCATGCATGCTACAAGTTCTGGTACAACAATGACTGACTCAACATCAGGCAAAGGACAAATGTCATCAAACTTGCTGAATGCTGGACTGACCACAGACTCATAGTCTCCATGTTCGATATCAAGATTCAGCCTATCAGACGACCACAAGGCAATATAAAGTGCCCCCAAAATAGCCATATATCCAAATTGAAACGTTAGACTATGAAACAAGCATTTGTCGAATAAATGTGCAGTCAGCTAGAAACAATCGATAAAAACTCTGATAATATCAAGGAAAACTAGGAATCATTCAGCAACTATATGTACTCTCTTCCTGAATTTAAAACCCTAAACAACATCACAGGTAAACATCAAGACTGGTGTCTGAGAACAATGCCATTGAAAGACTTCTAATTCAGAAGCATTGGCTACAGAAGGCTTGTTTAGAAGACAACACCTTAACATTTAAGAGGGCAGTCATAAGTAACATCAGGAGGAATGCCTAATGCAGACTCAGAGTTGAATGAGTTATGACATGCAATGATAACCGTTTACAGGTAGCAGTCATGAGAAGCTTATCAAATACTGAGTACTGATAATGCCAAAATGCTCACTGACAAAGAATAAATACTTCAAAGATTTGCATAATAGGTCAACAACATCCTCAATCAACAATAATATATCAAACAGAGGACAACCGATTGACTAAACCATGTGAAAATCAAAATATCCCTTGCTTATCAGTTAACGGCGAGAGAAAGTGGCAAAGCAATTGACCTGATGTCAATGGACAAAGCACCGGCGCAGACGCTATATCAGCAGAAGTCTACAAAGCTATGCTTGCAAACTGTAAAGAAACTGGCTAAATTCTTCCAGCTAACCTGCACTCAAGGAACTATAACCTAGATTACAAATATGCATTCACCTGCAAATGTGCAAACGAATAAGCCACAGACAATCCTGCGCTAACTAGCAAGGCTTATCCTTGATATCAAAGGTCGGCTAAAATCCTCAATCAAATTTTGCTGCATCGTCATCTGCATCATGCCATTGTGGCTTCAGAAAAGTTGAGAGACCATATACTTGGTGTTTAAATGTCGTTAATTCCAGGATAAATGCAACGACCAGAATTCCAACCTGCACACAAATTTCGTCCAATTAATAAAAATACTTTGGCACAGTAGTCATCGGTGCCATCTGAGTTTAATTACATAATTTGGCTGCCAAGAAAAATTCATTGTGATGGTTCGGCATTTCAAAGATGGTATTCTGGGTCGTGTTGTGGAGCACGGCGAGTCATCTGAACAATTAACAGTTACTTTTAACCTCAAACGAGGCTGTGTGTTTGCCCCGACCCTCTTCAGAATGCCATCATTAACTGTGCCGTTCGTGACTATGATACAGGTGTTGATATCAGATGTGAGACTACTAAACTATCCACATTGAGGTGATTAAGAGCGCAGGCGAAGTTACAGGAAGTGATATATATATAATCAAAAGCGCTCAATGTATATATATATATATATATATATATATATATATATATATATATACATATATATATATATATATATATATATATATATATATATATATATATATATATATATATATATATATATATATATATATTAATACAAATAATACTATCATAAAGGTTACAAGAATTAATTTCGTACTCTACCGAGTTTCGAACCCAGGTCCGCGAGTAATCGGCGCCCATCGCCGTGCCTGCACGCACCAGTCCATATACCGTCACGATTATGCACGCATCACCCAATCGGTGCTATACGACCTAGTAAATAATTCTCATATATATGCACTGTCGTCCCAGATTCCTATGAAAGAAATCAAGGTATATGGGATTTTTGTTTTACAAAGAATTATAAATATATACCAGATAATACAAAACTCTGTGTGTGTACAAGTTTTTAAAATGGTCACATCAGACAAAAAGCTCAGTAGTGCAAGCTTTACAAGTTAGCACATTCCATTTTGACAGGAAAGATCATACAAGTAAAGTGTTGTGTCGTTGATATAGTTTCTACTCAAGTACTACTACTAAAGATCTTTTTAAGTAAACAATCCATTGAGGGGATCCTTTCATACAGGATAAGTGATTGCCTTTCTAAACAATACATGTGCAAAACAAACAAAACAATGGATGTTTTATCTGCAATGAGAAAGATCTTCGTAATCGTAATGTAGTCATGGAGTGAGTGAGTGAGTAGATCAATACGCGTGCGCTGCATTATTGCTAAGGTACAGTTTGTTTTAAAATTAGTAATCTGCACGTCAAGTCAAAACTCGAAGATAAATCGTGTTGTGGTGCAATCGTAAATAAAATGCATTTCTACTCTATTCTTTATATGTGATAAAAGTGATTGCCTTTCTGAACAATACATGTGCAAGTAAATGATGTTTTATTTGTGATGAGAAAAATCTTCACAAAGTTCGCATGGAGAGAATAAGTAGATCTTCGAATATATATTTCGGCAAATACAAGTGCGCTACACTATTGGTAAGGTACAGGTGCGCATATCATGTAACTCTTATAACATATTATTGCCTGACACATGGTTTCTGATTTGAATAATTTCAATATTATTTAATATAAAAACGAAAAATATTTCCCAGAATGAATAGATATGTTAATAGTCATGTGACTAGTAATTTGCATGCCAACTAAAATAAATACCACGTATAGGACTGCAACAGCAATTAAACATTTCTTGTTAATACGTTAACAACTTTGCAATATTTATTAATGATATTTTACTAACTGACTTACTTAATAATTGTATTTAATGATAAGCAAGGTTCCATAATAGACATTATTATTGATGCATAACATAAAAGTCATCCTTGAGACTAAAATCAAGTATTTAACATTTTCCCAGTTTTGCAAACAACACGTACATCAAATTCCAATATCTTGAATCAGGAGGGATGAAACAAAATTCCAAAAAGTTTAGTTCATATATTTTCTTGAAAAAGAGACAATGCAGTCTTAGATGAATTTAAATATCGGTTTCTTGCTAAATTGAACACAGTGATCCATATTAGAATATACATGACAAACCACAATAGTCCCTATATAAAAACAAAATAAATCATATAACTTTGACAAGTTACTGCTATCTTAATGAGAAACTGCTTGATAATTCCATGTCTCATCATGCATGTTAAAATGTCACGCATAAAGCAAGAAAAGAGTATACCTATATAGGTATGCATGAGGTCGGGGTTATTGGATGATGTTATTTTCGTAAAAACAAT